TTGCTAATGGCAAAAGACAGCTCAAGTGCAAGTGCACTACTACACCACCAGGTTGCAAGTGATGCCTGCTTTCCAACTAATGGTAAAACTATTTTTTGCCAACCATGGGGGAAGCAGGTTCCCTGCGAGGAAGAATGTCAGATCCAGCAACCTGTGAAGACTCAACCACTTCACTGCTAGGCAGAGAAGAGATAAAAAGCATGCAGACTCTTCTCAGAAAAAAAGCTTTGTTCTGCAGAGCCTGATAATTTTCTTACTAATCTCTGTAGAGCCATTGTGTGCAACAATATTCTTTGGAACAAACTAAATGATCCATCTCTCTTGGAAAAAATATGATTTAAAACCAGCAGTTCCAGAGGAATCAACAGTAAGGAAAAAACTACCATAGCTTATAATTCTACAATTGAGGCAATTCATAGTGTTATTGGGGAAAGTCACATCTGCATTGCTAGAGATGAGACTGGTCACCTGTAGCTAGCTATTCTATAGGCCAGGGGCTGAAAATCTATAGCCTACAGCAGAAGACCAGGACCACAGGGACAAGACAAGTGGCAGTGGCTGGGTCCCAGAGCCCATCCTTCTGCCTGTCTCAGATTCGCGGCTGGAAAAGGTTGTTTACTACTGATATAGCCAATCTGATGACTGGGAGACCCGCTGTTGAACCTGGCAAGCCTTGCCTTTTGACTTCAAGTGTCAGAGAGGACACATAATGCAACAAAAGTACATTTTCTAAATGCCTCTATGTTTACTGTGGCCCAACTCAACTGTCAGCAATGAAGAGAAATTAAGGGTGTGTACAGAAATGTTCAGTGCACATTTTACAGTGCTGTAATTTAGAGTACTTTTTATAGCACTATAAAGTTACAGCGCTCTTAAACATGACAGAAGTGCAGTGTTTGGGGAGAAGCTCTGAGCCTCCCTGCACTTTCCAGGCCAGGAAGCAGGGGACGCTCAGCAGCCTCTTGGGCAAGGGTGGGCAAAATATGGCCCGGGGGCCAGATGTGGCCTGCCAGGCCTGTGGGGCCCCTAAAAATTAATTTTCTAAATTTTTTATCTGCCCCTGGCTGCCTATCATGCAGCCCTCGATGGCTTGCCAAAACTCAGTAAGTGGCCCTCTGCCCAAAATAATTGCCCGTTCCTGCTCTTGGGGCTGCAGCAGACTGAGACAGCAGTAGACCAAAGGAGAAGGAAGGAAAGCTAGGATGAGAGGCTATCACTCATCACTGGAAGCGGGCACTGCTTCTGCCACAGATGGTCAGGCAGCAGCTCTCAACCAGGCTAACAGCCTGGCTCCAAGCATCTAGTCCCCAGCCATGCACGGTCTCAGGGTGTGTACAAGTGTGTGATGCACTCTCCCCTCTCCTTCTCCCCCACCCTCCCTGGACCAATCACTGCCATCTCAGTCAGCTGGCCAGAGCAGGGTGGGTTGCCAGCTTTTTCAGGCTTGGCTACTGCTCCCCAGCTACTCCTGGTGGAGCTGAGGAGAACTAGATAAGCATGCAAAGCCCATGGGAAATTTGACCAGCATACATAAGTTATTTAAAGCACTGTAGGTTGCTGAAGTGCTGTAAAATACAATGCTTCAAGTTTAATACCTCATTTAATTTAAAGTGCTGTACTCATTTTTAAAGTGCTATAAAGCTGTGCACTTCTGTCAAGTCATGGCAATAAGGCACTTTAAATGGTGAAAAAAACAACTTCTATACATACCCTAAGTCTTCTACTTGCAGGTCCTGCAGTCTACATGCTGAAAAAAGGAACAACACTGCAAGCATGCTAGTCACAGAACTTTGCCTCTTTGGTGCATGGCCTCAACTGAGTTGCTAAAAAAATCCAAAACTTGAATTTGTACTGGCCAATTCTTTTGTTTCAAGTATGAAAAAAAAGTGTCTGTAAAGATGCCACTGAGAATACAGCCTTACAGAGAAATTCTGCCAGACATGCCCCTGCTGCTACAGCTCATGGTGATACACTGGGGAACCTGGATAAATGCAAGTTCCTATTTTACACTCTGCTTTGGGATTCTCTTATATACATATAAATACACACACACACGCACACACACAACTAAACAAACAAACAAACAAGCAAACAAAAAAAATCAGTAGTTTTGATGCCAGCAAGACAGCTTCCATCAGTGCTGCATAAATGGCTTCAAACAGCCCTACAGTCAGAGGGATCTTGTAATGAACAGAAACATGTGCTTTTCTGCTCTGCCACTGGCAGTCAAGGAATTTAAGATATGGGGCCTCTCAATACATGACTCCCTTGACCAAATCAAGGAGGTCAAAGAAAAATTCAACCCTATTCCACACGACGTACAAGCGAGAGAGAAATTGCAAAGGCTTTTGAAGAGGAACCTTGGATACAGAACACTTAGTTGTGATAAATTACTTGGATGATACTGGTCTGGAACTGCCAGAATAAGCACCAGCTGGCTCCCATGGTCAACTATTGCCCTGTATTATCTATGCCAGAGGCAGGCTGGATGCACGCACAAAGCTGCAGCCATGCCACACACAGTGCCTGCCTTGGCCAGACTGAGCTGCACTCAGCACCCATCCTGGCAGCTCTGGAACTGTGCCACACACAAGCCAGTCCAGGACCTGTGCTACACGCAACACGGGTCCTCAAGTGGTTGGAATGGGCAGTATGTGCAGTGCACATACCAAAGCAGGCACTATGTGTGGCACAGGCTGGATGGAGCAGGCACCATGTGCAATCCAGCTGCTGCTCTGGCTGGTCGGCCGCTCTGGCACCTGGTCCAGCCACTCTGGGATCCATGCCACACGCAGCATGGGTCACAGAGCAGCTGGAGCAGCTACTGGATCAGTTGTACTGAGAGAGGGGAGGGGGGTTGTAGGCCAGATCTGCTCTGTGGATTAGCCCTGTGCCACAGGCGTGCGCCTCTGCCCCATGTGGGTCTGATCAGACCCAGAGGCAGCACTGGGGGCTGGATGCTGGGGCTCTGTGGGTCAGATCCAGCCTGTGGGCCACATGTTTGACTCCCCTGCTCTATGGATATTGAGATACCATTCTGACTGAGGAGCACCACAAACTAACACCAAAAACTTTGGGAAAAATACTAGTTCCATATTATCAATCAAATTATTGTGCAAGCAAATAAATGGATGTACTACAGGCACACCCTAAAAGGTGCACAGAAGTGTTGCAGATGAAACTCTTTACTAGTTAAATGGACAATTATCAGACAGAACATGGTTAAACTTAAATTTGTTGGGGCGTTTCCCCCCCATTTCCCCTAAGTTTTGAAGACAGCAGAATGAAGGTCATAGTGAATATTTCTATCATTTTAAAGGCATATTTTATCACTTTTCAAAGTATAAATGCACCCCCTACTAAGCTTTGTTTCAAGGTAATTTGCATCATCCCAGATCCTCACAGGTGAGAGGTTCCATACCAGCCATGAACTTACTGCCCAGAGGAGTTTTCCATCTGTTGACTCTGCTGTGAAATCTGATGAAATATGAACTTTCATTTCTACCCAAGAGAACTTTTATAATCTTTTCCCCAATGCCTGATGAAAGGTGTTTGTGCCTGAAAGCCTGCAATTAATTTTTTTTTTTTTTTTTTTTTTTTTTTTTTTTTTTTTTTTTGCAAAAATCTTGTTGGTCTAATAAAATGTCATCTCTACTGTAAGTCCTGTTTGCCTCCCCCTAATAAGCTGGGTTTTTGGTTGTAGCTGTGTTGGTCTACTGACATAGGCAGGCATGGTTCTTTGGGTAGATGTGATATCTTTTATTAGACCAACTGAGTAATTGGAAATAAATTATTTGCAAGCTTTTGGGTGCAATCGCCCTTTGTCAGGCATAAGGAGTCTTTGCTGTTCTGGGATTCCAAGGAAGACTCCCTATGCCTGAAGAAGGGTGATTGCACCCAAAAGGTTGCAAGGAACCTTTTTTCCAACTGCTGTTTGTCTAGTAAAAGATATTGCATCTACTCAAAGAACCTTGCCTCCCTACTAAGCATATTTTTAGGGTTGTTGTGCATGTAAATCTTATGTCTAATAATCACAATGCAAACAAGCACAGTCTGCCAGGACAGAAGCAGCACCAGCAGCTTTGGGAAGGACTGAAAGAAAAGGGATGGAAAACTGCTCCAAAGTGCTGGCTCCTGCTCCAAATTCATCCTCACAGCAATATCTGAATGGACGTTGAACAGAGCTCACCAGCAGTCAAGGTGGAAGCGAGCTCCCAGGCTGAACATCCTGGGAACTTCAGTCCAGCATCTTAACGGAGCTAAATCACTGCCAGCAACAGCCTGTTCAAATTCATGTGCGCTCCCCTGCTCACTGCCACTTCAGAGCTGTCAGAGAAGACTTATAGCACGCTGCGTAATTAGCAGCTGGAGCACTGTTTGCCTGACAGCAATTGCACGTTGCTCTGTCAACAGGGCTGTGCGTCAGGCCTGCCGCTGTCAGTCACAGAGCCACAGCCTCCTCACCACCCTTCTGTCTGGGGGGAAAGGCAGTCCACAGTAGCCATCATCATCTCTTCACAAAGCGTGGGGAACCAGGGGGAGGATCCTTCTGTCACAGAAGCCAGCTGGGCAGTTTCACTCAGGCACAACAAAGGAACAAAGCACTGAAAGGAAGCGGCTGGCAAGTCCTCACAAAGTTGATCTTGGCTGTTTGGTGGTCAGGGCTATTTTCTTGGCAGTTGAGGCCACCAGAGCGACCCAGCCCCTAAGCCTGCAGGATGCACTAAAACCACTTAGTGCTGTAAGATGATGCCAGAGACATTTTTGGATTCAGGGCCAAAATCTTGGTGCAGGAATCCTGCCATTCCCAACCCCCATCTATGCCACCCAGCGTGTGTATTACCACAATGGAACCGGCTAGGACCAGCGTAAGAGGGCTGAGGTGGAATCGTTATGGTTTCCAGTTCTTTGGCACACACTTAGATGGGTTATGAAGGGGAAGAAAGGACAGGACTTCAGCAGTGTGGTATGTGGATATATTTTTCAACCATGCCTCCTACCTGTCTGGTTTTAGCAGATGTCTCTATGTAGGGGATCCCGTAACTCCTGGCCAAATCCTGCGCTTGCCGGGTCTCCACTGTCCGGGCTGGCAGGTCACATTTGTTCCCCACCAGCACCATGGGGACATCGTCTGAGTCCTTCACTCTCTTGATCTGCTCTCTGCAGAGACAGGGATGCCCAAAGGTGAGAAGAGGAAACACCAAGCAGAGGGAGCACAACGTTTCACATGTCAAAAAGGCAGTAGCAGACTGTTTCAGAGAGCTCCCGACAGCAACAGAGGAAAAGTCACTTCCAAAGGATGGTAACAGAGTTATATAAGATGATTTGGGTAGGGCTTTCAAAAACCGCCTAAATGATGGGGTAATTAAAAGAACAGATCAAAAGCCTTTTTCCTTTAAAAAAATATCCCTATTTAAAATGAAATATGAAATTATGGCAAACTACGTTAAAGCCTAAACAAAAAAAAAAGGGACTCAGGCATGCACATGGTTGCAGCTGAAGTTTTTACAGAAAGTCAAACCACTGAATTTGGGGAAGTGATTAACTAAACACCTGGGACCAGAAATACTGCTGAAATGATAAAGTTTCTTCTGGCAGCTATAGCTAGCTTCTTTTGCAGTGAGAATATTTTCTTTATTTTAAGTTAGTTCAGTTCAATAACTATATCAGTAAAAGAAAAAAAAACAAATGAGAAGAAAAAAAGCAAGAAAGCTTGCTTCCCTCTAATCTGTAAATACAAACAGGTACAAGAGGGTGTGATCTACTAGTTCTAAAATCTTGAAGGATATGGTGCTCAGTTCTTTCATTGCAGATAACTTCCTGTGGCTAATACATTACTTCAGGTTTAAACACAAAGCATCTTTTTTTCCTCATGTATCTAGAGCATTTAAATAGTTTTATTTAGTAATAATTTTTTTTAAATACTAATTTGCAGCATTTGATCAAATTCTAATTTCCATCCAAGAACAGTTTGGTACAAGTCATGAATTGGAAAAAAAAAAAAAAAAATCAATCATTTAGTAAATAAATGTCAGTCACAATTTTCTAAAAGTGTAAAACAGAGCCCAAAAGAATCACATTAAGCTAAAGAACTGCTTAAATGTGTGTATGATTTTCCCTATCCCAAAGGACATATGAAGTACCACATCTAGTGTAAAGGCTGTATTTAGTAGAAAATCAACATATCTTAATAGCTACCAACCAATGAGAATAAGCTCATTGTTTAGGAAAACAAGACTGAAAATCTATTACCTAAATCACAATTTAAAAAACGGTGATTTTAAAATCACTTTGATTTCATCCAAGCCACTCCATAACGGACTCACGTCCACTAAGTCCCAATGAAAGTCAAATCTGAACTCCAATGAGGTGCTCTACAAAAAAATCCCATGTCTTGTAGTTTGGTTCTTATACATTAGTTCATTCTTATATGTCAGTACATAGCAGGTTACTATGTTCTTTAAAAAAAATGATTACCCAGGGCATGTGTGGTACTAGAAGGCAAGCAACAGAGGTGAAGCTGCCCCTTCAGCTCCAGGGGCAGAAAAAAAAAGACGGTAGGGCTATGCTGTTCCTAGTCTGGATGTGTGTGGCACAAGGTCTCAAAGGTTATCTGAGATTAGCTCCCACTATCAACAAAGCTCCAGCCAGGAACAGCACCATATCTCCAGTGTCTATGGACACAGAAACATCTCATATGTCGGGGCACGAGTGAAAGCCTCAGTTACTCATGGAAGATAAAGCAACAAATGTTGAGCCCAGTGACAGCAGCCAGTAGCTGGGGTCAGCTCACTGATCTATGGAGGAAAATGGTCAGAACCTTTAGCTGATGGATTTCACTCCATTTTTTTCCAAAGCACATGACTTTTCCCTCTGTTACTCACTACCCAGCTGGGAAAGCTGATAAATGATCTAAATACAAAGCATTTCTCTCATTTCAAGCAACATATTGTTGCCTCTTCTTTTAATTATTCCACCCTGGATTCTAGAATTCATTCAGGATGGTCCCTAATGTCCCACAGGCCACAGCTGGGAACAGAGCACAGGAGTGAGTCAGTCACAGATATGCAGAAACAGGGGAAACTTGGTCACAGGTGAGGAGGGAGATGGAAGAGACTTGTAACATATTACTACATAAGACAAAGTCCACAGCTGGCCCTAGCAGCAAACAAGGACTTAGGGGCACTGGTAAGACTGGAATAGACTTGCTAACAGAAGTCAGACTTGGGCTGCTGTAGTCATATATCCAGATGAGCTGGAATGAATGAATGATGGGCAGCACTCTGCCGTTGTATTCTTGCATTTAAAGTTGTGGCTGTTCAACGCAGTGACCAGGGATGGAGCATGAGCACAGAATCCTTCCCTTTTGGAGGCCTGATCCGGAGAAGTGGAATAGGTCAGAAACCACCATTGCTCTCCTTCCCAATGCCCCAAATTGCTTGCTGAATGAACTTTGTCTGGTGCTCCACCCAGCACAGAAAGCCTCCTCAGAGGCGGCTTCTGAAGTGCCTGTGGGCTGATAGAGCTGCCAGGGCTTCCCACTTCTCTGGCAGCAAGGCATGTAAAAGAGCTGCTCTTTGGCCAGGGAAACATGCTTACAAAGAGCACCACTCCCACTTCCTGTTGCAGATCACTTACTAGCTACAATGCCAAACCCCTCCTGCCCCCAAAGAGAAGACTTTGGGGGATGGCATAAGGCAGCTTGTTATAGTAAAAAATACCTAGGGGCAGAGCCAGGCCCCATAAACACATTCTCTCCAGCCTGGGGCAGCACTCACTGCGTGGGCAGCTAGAGAACAGCTCAGCATTGCTCCAGCAGCAACATCTATGGGTGACTCTGTTTGGATCTTTATTCTACTTCAGGTTTGGGGGTGGGAGGAATCAAGCATATGCTGTTTGTGCATTAGACAAGACAGGTCTATTTGTTATACAGGTACACAGTTCCTGGGGTGACCCCAGACACCCCAGGAACTGCAAGCCTCCCTCAGTGGCTTCCTCCTGCCTCCTCAATTTGTCTGTGGGAAAAGTCATGAGAAAACAGAAACTGGAGTTGTAGGCCAAAGGTTGGTAACCGCGGTGTCAAGGGAGGACACTGAGCAGAGAGTTCTAGCTAGCACCCACTATCCCTTGAACGTATCCAAGGAATCAGTGTATACCGTCTGGTGGAACTCTACCCAGGGACACAGACGGGCAAGGGAACAGAAGACAGCCCCGCAGTTGCTCAAGTGCCACCCCCAAAAACAGCACCTCCTTCCTAGTCTGGCAAATCAAGAGCTTGGCCAGGGGCAGGAGCAGGTTGACCAGAAGGACTCTGCACTTCGTGGGCCTATGGATGAGGTTGACTGTGTGGCCTAGAGGCCCCGAGTACTAGTCCCAGATCCGTCTCTTGGGCACATCACCATCCTCTCTGTGCTTTGCCTACATCTCTAATCTATTTAGATTAGACTGTAAGATCCAGTGCAGGGACTGTGTCTCAGGGTGAGCATGTACATACAGAGTGCTCAACACAACAGTACCTGATCCTGACCTCTGTGATACTTGGACAGAGCTGGGAGCTGTAGGAGCGTTCCTCTCAGATGCTCCAAAACCCTGTGCCCCTCCTCATGCCCAAGCCAGCTCTCTCAGCCTTCATGGATGGCAGGAGACGCCAAGATCAATTTCACTAACAGAGCGATTCCATTAATTAGAGCAGGGAGGGAAGGGATCAGCTCTCTCTCTAGTCACCATAAACACAAACATTACATTACCAAGTCCCCTAAGGCTGCCAGCAAGCCCCTCAGATGGGTTTTTATTGGAGTCACTAACATTAGCCGTCTGCTCCTGCTCTTCCCTGGGGCAGGGCCGCTGGAGCTAATAGTCTGTGCTGGCAGCCACCACTTCCACAGCAGGGACCTGGTCTTAAAAGGGGAGGTGGGCACAGCACAGCCTCCCCTTCAGCAAGAGAGGTGGCATAGTGCCTTGCTGGTGAGGAAAAGGGCATCACATATACTGACCTATACTGGTGAATATCTTCAAAGGACTTAGTATTGTTAATGGCAAAGACGCACAGGAAGCCCTCCCCTGTCCTCATGTACTGGTCTCGCATGGCGCTGTACTCCTCTTGTCCTGCCGTGTCCAAGATGTCTAACAAACAGGTTTCTCCATCAATGACTACCTGTTTTCTATAGGAATCCTGCAGAGCCAGGAGAGAGAGAAAGAGAGAGAGAGAGAAGCGTTAAGGAGAGATCAACTAAGGAGTGAATACCTGCTTCTTGTGCCCTGGGTTTAAAACGCGAGCAACAAGGAGTCCCACCACCTGTAGCAGATGCTGGTACTGATGTCACAAATACCACCTGCCCCAAACATGTTTGGATTTAGCAGCCTTGATTCTATGAGGCCAGGACTAGCAAGGAAGTGGTGCGTTGGTATGCGGTGAAGACCAGAACTGCAGACATGCTGGGGGTCAGGGTTGTTGTGTGCTGGGTGGAGGCTCATGACTGAATTAGCAGGAGGTCCTGCTGCCTGTGAGGACAGTGGCAAAGCTGTACAGGCAGCAGCTTACACAACCACTGCAGGCCCCATGCCTGGCTCTGGGCAGCATTAAATAGCTGACTCAATCCCTATTTTAAAAAAATGGCAGGAGAAAATAAAAACTAAAGGGAACAGCAAAACAAGTTTCCCCTCTGCTGCCAAAGCAGCGGCTAATACAGCCTCTGGCCTGTTCCTCTAATTTACAGTGTTGTCTCCTGGCAGACAAGGTGCGTCTTTGACCAACGCCTCCCACCTTTAGACAACTATTTTCCTAGCTTTATTTAGTACAGGCTAATCCCTCCTGATGCCTCCCTTCCTGAGGGAGGTGCAAGGGCCGGAAGTGGTTCGATCGACTCCTGCAGCCACACCCAGGGACATAGAAATGGGTAAACAGAGCGTGGATACGTGGTGGCTAGAGTCTATGTGAGGTATCATTGATGCCTCCAACACTCCCATTCGCAATGCTCTACAACAGTCCTTATTTAACCAGTTATGGAAAACTGGGGATGGAAAATCATCTAGGGCAGCCCTTGGCAGCATGGCTACTCCCTAAGGGACACCCTGTACAGTAACGCATCCAATCTAGTCTTACATGTCCCTGCTGATGGGGCTCCCACCACCTGCCCTGGTACCAGAACAATGGTTCTCCACCTCATCAAGGCTCATGGCACCCCTCGTTAAGACTCAAAGCACCCAGCCCTCCTCTTAGCTCTCACTTGCTTTCTGATCATAGAAAAATAATAGAGCATTATTTTTCTACTGCAAAGAACTCAAAGACCCCAACAGATCAGGATGTTTTTGACCCTGAGGATATCTATTTGGAACCACTGGGTTTATCTTGTGACTCACGCTTGCACATCTAACAGTGCTAACACTGCATGGTGCCCTGGAAAGGATCTCAAGGCATCCCAGGGTGTCATGGCACTGTGGTTGAGAACTATGGGCTTAGAACATTTCAGTGTTAAGGATTTTCCTGATGTCCCCTTCTTAAAGCCTGTCACGTTACTGCTAGCTTGTTCCTTGAGCCTGCGAGAAAATAGTTTGAGACCTGCCTTAGGTCGACTTCTATTCTCTGCTTTCCCACAGACTTTGTGGTGACTTTGGGCAAACTGCTTTGGCTCTCTGCACCTCACTTTCCCACCTGTGAAATGGGGGTAAAGTCCTCAGTCATGATAGGCAGATAAGTCTATTAAAGATTCTGGAGTTTAGATGCAACAGTGTTGGGGAGTTGTAGATAGAGCCCAGGGAAACCAAGGTTTTCAGAAGCTACTAAGTGCTCTAGGATACGCTCAGCACTTTCAAAATCCAGCACCTCCACTTGGGCACCCAAAATCATGCCTATTTCTCCCTTTTGCCCAAGGGGTTACTGTATCAAAGAGTCCCAGAAAAGAAGGGTTAAAAGGGTCCTTAGAAGATCATCTACTCCAACCCCATGCTCAAGGTAGTATCATCCCCATCTGAACCATCCCATTCTTAAACTACACAAATCAATCCTGATGCAGAGCTACAAGACATATTGCCCCAAAACACCAAGAGCACCCTATCCTACCACAGGTAAAGCAGGATGACAAGGGCTGTCAGTGTCCAGCAACTACAAGTGCTGTTAAAATGCACGTAAGAGATCCCAGGAAGGAGGCCATGTCCCCCATCACAGAGGAAGGGGAAAACCCTACAATGTATACCAATCTGAACACAAGGTAATTAATCTGATGCTAGGTGGAAGGGTTACCCAGGAACCTCTAGGCTTTAGTCCTAGCAGGACCAATCCAAAATCCCCTTGTCCCTGTAGTAAGAGTATGGCAGCAAATTCTACATTGAAGTTTTCAAACTGATTTTAAGTAGAACACTTTTCTCACAAACTTTTTTGAAACTCTCCCTGGGAAAGGTATTTCCTACAATAGGTTTCTGCCCAAAGTTATTTTGTTTGCAACCATCAAAAGTTATGTAACATTACCCCCAACATATATACAGACTTCCCACTATAAAATCGATTTCTGCTATGCTTTTTTCACATGGAGAACATATGAAAATTGTAATGACCACTCTCAAAGGGCATCTGTTACTACTTTTTGAAAAGCACCTCTTACGTGACATCACCACATGTCCTCCCTGCAGAGGCTAACCACAGGGGCTGGTGCTACAACAATTTGGATGGACAGAATTGTAACATCTCATGGGAGCTGTGCAAACAACTTAAACTCTCTCCCTGCCAGTCCAACTTCCAACACAGCCCCACACCTTCATAGCAAGAGAAGAAGAAAATCATGGACATAGAAAAAAAATTATAGCTCTAGGTTCTCCTGTTTAAAGGATCTTTCTGCAATTTTGTTTGTTCCACATTCTTAGAAATCCTAGACTGAGTTTAAAATTAAATTTAAAGGGTCTACAGCAACAATTTTCAACCTTCTTAGACTGAAGACACAACTTGATTCAAGGCACCTCTCTTCACACTCCAGGCACCATTAGGAAAATGCCATCTCTTAGTTTTCACTTGTTTTTGACTTCAGAAAAATAATAGAGAAATTTTTCTGTTACAAGGAACTCAGAAAGACCACAACAAGTAGAAATGGTTTTGACATGATGGATTCCGCTTCGAAATGTATGGGTGTATCTTGTGAATCATGTGCAAATGTTTGCATACCAGACTGTGCTCATATTGCATGGCGCCCTTAAAAGGATCTTGCAGTACCCTGGTTGAGAATCACAGGCGTAGGGTCCCCAGGTGCTAAAAGGGGCAGTAGCCTGTTGGCTAGACTTTATCCCGATCCTGGGAAAGAATAAGTTTCTAGCTAAGCAGCAGCAACAGCAAAGGGCACTGACAGCATCAGACTGTAGATAAAGCTAATGAACTTAAGACGGATTCCTGCCCTGTTTGTCACAGTAAGGAGAACAACTAGTAAGGGTGAATTTCATTCCCCTCTGTGCACCTAAATGACTCTTTTGGCCCTGCCTTCTCAGTGTGGAAATGTAACCATGACTAAGCATGCTCAGCAGGCTCTGCACTCACTGAGTATGTACACGTGTGTAAATCAGGAAGAGAGGCTCCTCCCTGTGTTTTAGCTACAATAGTTGAGTGGTTATTGCAATTACCCAAGGAGCAAGAGACTTGGGCCACAGGTCAGACATTACCCACAGCCCTCTCCAGTGCTCCTTTTGAAGCTGAGCTACTGCCTCTCACATTCAATAGTCATTCCCCCTGGAAAGACCTGAAACCTGAGTCTCTGTGATCCAAAAATTCAGAAGAATTCAGAGCTGCTTCACTGTGACCTTCTCAATAATCCTCTCCAAAAAGAAAAGGTTGAAAACAGAGCAGTAACCAAAGAGCACAGCAGTGTTGAGCAATTGCTTGGCTTCCAGCCAACCACTCAGCCCCCAGAGAGGTATTTGCATTCCCAATCAATAACATGTCCAAAGCCTCCCTGACAGTTTTCACTAGCCAGCAGCAGAGATTTGGCCTCTGTGGTCTTGGCCCACAGTTCTGCCACTGCATCCACAGGTAAAAATCAGGGGGAAACCTGCAAACATGGGTCGCTTGCCTCTGGAAGTGGCCTCACCAATGCATATCTAAACGGAGCTTATCTACAAAAAACTCACAGCTGGAAGTGTCCCTGAGCACAGAGGATCTCAGTTCCCAGTGGTGTTCACCACTCAGACAGGGCAGGCAGTGCCACAGCTGGATCTGGGGGACCCAACAGTGGAGGAGAAACTCTTCTAGACCTCACCACAGCAAGGTAATGGGGTATATTTGGAGCAAGTTTTCTATAGCCATTTTCTTTCCTTTGTCAACGGACATCCGCATAGTAAGGTGACTTATAAGGGCAATGCCTCTAGGGGCCATCATGTTGGTATTCAATCCTCCTAAATTAAACAGTCCATTCTTTCACAACCATTTCCAGCCTCCTTTTAAGCACTGGTAGTAGCAGGATAACATGAGTAAAAGTCTGTGTAGGATGGGTCATGATTACCTAGATCAGTGGTGTTCAACCTTCTTGTCCATGGGCCTGATGAGCAGTGCCCAGTCTGTCTGTGGGCTGGATCTGGCCCATAGGCCTGATCCAGTGCACAGGGTGGGTGCACAAGGGCCAATCTGGCCACATGGAGGGGCTTGGAGGAAGGGCGGCCCAGCCCCAATCTGGTCATGCAGGGGCAGGGAGCAAGGCCTAGCCCTGACATGGCTTTGCAGGGCTTGGGAATTTGGCAGCATGGAGGGGTGGCAGTATGAATTGCCACTGCTCCCCCACCGCCACATTTCCTGACCCATGGGGAGCCCCATGGACTAGATGCCATGGCTCTGCAGGCTAGATTTGGCTTGCGGGCCAGGGGTTGAGCACTGTGGGGGGCCTGCGGGTTAGGGGTTGACCTAGATCTTTCACTGACTCACTTCTAACAATGTTCCTTGGCATGTGTCCAGAGGACAAATCTCTCACTGCAGAGCAGTCACACTGAGTTGAATTTCAGAAGGTAGCCCTGCTGTCAAGGCAGGATACTCAGGAACAGGAAGGTTGAAATTTTGATTGGGTATCCAAAATCTCAAAGAGAAACCTGGGTAACTCCTGAGTTTACGTGGAACATGGGGGCATCCGAAAAGGTCTGTAAAGATTGCTAAATGAGCTGGGACCTCATTTGGAGTTTGTGACCCAAAAGCAGAAGAGTTTCTTGTGG